GAGAGAGAGAGAGAGAGAGAGAGAGTGAGAGAGAGAGGAGAGAGAGCGAGAGAGAGAGAGAGAGAGAGAGAGGAGAGAGGGAGGGAGAGAGAATAAGACAGGCAGTTATAGGATTGAAAGATGGAATAGTAAGAGAATAGCCCATAGAAAAAACATAGGGGGCTCTCGTGGCCTAGAGATTAAGGTGTTCGTCTCTCGTTCAAAGGCGACGGAAAAATTTTCTTCTCTAAAATTGTCTCCTTTCACCTCATTTCCTGCTGTCTAGAAATGATCTGTCATCTGCTTTCGTTTCCACATTTTGCCCCCACCCCTTCACGTCCTCTGCTCCCTCCTCTGGGCTCCTAACTCTTTCTGCAGCATTTCTACTGCAACTCCTTGGCTCCTTCTTACTGCTGTCTTTCAGCCGCACCCCCTGATCTTATAGTAGGACGGATTTACACCCAGCCTTTTCGGATAAGGGCAAAAAATCTCTGAGGTCCCGTGTGAAAGTTGCGCACGTTAAAGATCCCTAGGTGGCTTAAAAATCAATAAGAGTAGGCTTCGGCCGGGCAAAATTCAAAATTTCCTACCAACTGAAAATGTTTAAAGTGTCCCGCACGCTCATATGGCCTTATGCAGTTGCGAATGCCGTAAAACACTTACCCCCCCAAAAAATTATCTAATTTTTTTAAAAAGAACATAAGGCAGTGTTGACGGAAGCTTGGTCTTATTAATATTTCAAAGACAACTGCAATAATACTTAATGTCTTAAGTTCTGGCCAATTCTAATCTCGTAGACCCGACTTGCCGAACCTCGATCGCCATGTCGCACGATGGCAGTAGGAGGGCAGAGACAAGTCTGGACACGCACGTAACATAAAGTCATAGACTGCACGGTCGTTGAAACAGAGCCCCAGAGCAGCAGACAACCGACGTAATAGCAGATCATTGCACATCAACCCCAGAGGCCATTAAGGCAGAGATGATGATGATGATACTTTCAGCCATCCATAAACACCCACCCCTATACCCCCACGCCC